ATAGATTCAACACAATCTCAATCTAAATTCCAACATTTTCTCATTGTGGAATCAAGCATGTGGAAATATAAAAGTCCAAGAGTGGCCAAAATATTCGTGGTACCAAATAGCAACATTTATTTTGTCTTTTAATATTTTTAAATTCAGGGGTGCCTGGGTGGCTCAGTCGGTTGAGTGTCCGACTTTGGCTCAGGTCATGATCTCACAGTCTGTGAGTTCGAGCTCCGCGTCGGGCTCTGTGCTGACAGCTCGGAGCCTGGAGCCTGCTTTGGATTCTGTGTCTCCCTCACTCTCTGCCCCTCCCCCGCTCATGCTCTGTCTCTCTCTCTCTCTCTCTCTCTCTCTCTCTCTGTCAAAAATAAATAAATGTTAAAAAAATTTTTTTTTTAAATAAAGAATTGCATGCTCCAGCGAGTGAGCAAGCCAGGCACCACAACGACAATTATCTTAACGCCACAGTAATTAAGACAATTTGATGTCAGCCCAAGGACAGATCAATATAGTGGTGGAACATATTAGAATCCCGAAGTAGAGACACATTATAGATGGGCATTGATTTATGACAAAATAGCTCAGCAGAGCAGTGGTACTGGGTCAGTCAGAAATCTATATGAAAAACTGAAATTTGGGGTCTCTGGCTGGCTCAGTCAGGAGAGCATGTGACTCTCGATCTCAAGGTCATGAGTTCAAGCCCCACATTGGGTATAGCGATTACTAAAAATAAATAAATAAAAAATAAAAACAAGTGAAAGCTATTTTTTTTTTGAAAAATGAAATTTGACCCCTTCCTCACACTATACTCAAAAAAAATCAGTTTCAGATTAACTAAAGCTCTGTGAACAGCAAACAAAATTTCTAGCAGGGTCATGTTTCTGGAACAGCACCCCAAAGCCATTGACCAAGAAAGAAAAGTTTGATAAATTTGAATACACTTAGATTCAGATCTTCTGTTCATTCACAGAGTGGGAGAAAATATTTGTACAATTGACAAATGGATGTGTAGCAGGTGGAACTCTTATGCTCTTCATGATATACTTTTTCTGGAAAGCAATCTGTCATTACCCAGGTTGAGCATGGAGATACCCTACGATAATTCTCTTGGGTAATGAACCAGGAGTAGATAGAATTGCCTTGTGAACCAAGAGATAGGGGAGCACTATCCAAACTGGAAAAACCACCCTTATTGTGTATATTTCCCAGTCCCCAGTCGCTTGTTTTAATTGCTGTATCCTATCCTGTTATATAGTATATACCACAATCTATCCATTGCTTTTCTGGTAGAACTCTGACTAGTACCTCATTTATGCTGGTTCATCTATGGAGGTGAGCATCTTTTCTTAAAAATTAACTTGGGGGCGCCTGGGTGGCGCAGTCGGTTAAGTGTCCGACTTCAGCCAGGTCACGATCTCGCGGTCCGGGAGTTCGAGCCCCGCGTCGGGCTCTGGGCTGATGGCTCAGAGCCTGGAGCCTGTTTCCGATTCTGTGTCTCCCTCTCTCTCTGCCCCTCCCCCGTTCATGCTCTGTCTCTCTCTGTCCCAAAAATAAATAAACGTTGAAAA